GTTTCATTTGGTCACAATTGATATATCTATCATTACCAACCCAGTCATTCAACATGCATCCTGTCTGGCTGATAAATAAAAATATATAGACCTAAGGACATATATGAAATAAATGTAAAATTTGAAAAGCTACTAAAAAAGTTACTCATCAATTTTATTTTAGAACTGAGTAATAATTTTAACACATTAATAGATGAAGATAAACTATTTCAAAGAAAATAATTAATTTCTGTAGGCATCTAATAAAATTTCCAACTTTTCCTTTGGTGGTACACATAAGCTTGCACACAGAACAACAATTAAAACTGTTTGATGCTTTTTAAACAATATTTTTAAATCTTTAACATTTCTGCATAGTTTTTTTGTTTGTTTGATTTTTTTTGTTTGATTTGTAATAATTTCTAAATACTTTTTAGTTACTCTTAATTCTAGGTAGTTTAAATTTGCTGTTTTAGGCACAACTTTTGTTTATACCATCCCATAGCCTTTTTTATTTTCATAAATTAAAGTTAAATCAGGTCAGAAAAACATGTCTACTATCATTTGATTTTATGAAAGGTAGGAGACGTTTTTGTAAACACTCTTAAACATATACTTTGTTAGAAAGTGTAATACTTTTAGAAATAAAATTGTCATGTAACTTTTTGCAGCGGGTTCTTACACATTTTTTTTTTTTTGTTTCAAAATGGGCAGGTACTTTTTGTGATTTGAAAGAATGAAGACCATGTTTATTTTGAACCTTTACTACAAAACTATGAGAACCTTTTTAGTGAGAAGCTTGTTTATTTTTATATAAGTTTATTTTAATACTGTTAACCAGTTTTCTAGCTAGTTTTACATTTTAAATACCCAACTTTCTTCCACCACCAGATTTGCGTTTGATCCATTTTTTTTGGGTTGATTATATCGATTTCAAAAATGTTAAATAACATAACTAACGGTGTGAGCACTTGCAACTTTTTTGCTATTGAATTGTAGCTTCTTTTCAGATTTTCCAAATTGTGCATATTTTTTTCTCTGACATCTTTTGTCATTTTAAAAACTTATTTTAAGTTAAATTAAAAAACTAAAACATTTTTTTAAATTCAGCAACATGTAATAAAAATACAAATAAAAATAAAAGTATATTAAATCAACCACTGAAAAAAAATGACATTTATTTTTTCACTTTTTTTAACATCTTCACTTTTTTTATTAACATCTTTGCTTCCAACAAGGCTGCAAGCAACCACTATTAGAGTTACTGTTACTGTTACTGGAGGTTACTGGAAAAGAAAAGATAAGGTTTGTAGAGCAAGATAACGGTTGACAGATGATTTGAAAGACAACAAATTATGTAATTCAGGAAAGCAAGATGAAGGTAGCAAATTCCAAATAACTGATGTTTGAGGAAAAAATTAAAAAAATTGATGATTAAGAATTTTTGGAGCACTTAGAAACAGTCGCAGTAAAAGAATAAGACTTAATTGAATGACAAGTAACACAAAAATGAATTTTAGTAGATGGCACTGGAGATGCTAGCTCTTTAGAGTAGTGCCCATTATAGTATTTGTAAAAAAGAGACATACATGACGATGAAGCAACATGACGATGTGATAATGGTTGGAGGGTGGCTGCAAGAGCAGGTCCAACTATGTTTACATCAACTATGTCCAACTATGTTTGCACTTTGTCTAAAAGAGAAAGGGCATCATTAAAAGATCTGCCCTAGATATAGCAACAGTATTCCATACAAATACGGGTTTGAAATTTATAGAGATGTAAATTAAAAAAAGTACAGGGCCGAGGATAGAACCTTGAGGAACCCCTGAAGTTACAGAATATGAAGAAGATTGCTGTCTATTGAAGACAACTTTTATGCTACAGTTGGAAAGGAAGGATTCAATAATCTTAAAGATGTTATCTGATACACCATAAGAAGAAAGCTTATGGAGAAGACCAGCATGCAAAAGTATATATATATAAAAAAAAACTATTTAACAAGTGAAAACTTTTGTAACTATTTAAATAGTTTCAAAAGTATGGATGACAGCTTCGGAGAACACCTCTGCAAGACTACAACTGGTATGTCGTCTGGACCTCAAGCTGTAGAGGAGTCTAAGCAGTAAACCACTTCAGATACAGCTGGATTGATATGAATGTCAAGCAATGGATCAATCTGTTTGACGGCTATATCAGGTAGAACGCAACTAGTAGAATTAAGAGATGATGTTGATGAAATGCTTTTAGCAAACAATTCAGCTTTGTCTTTAGGTGAGGTGACAGTCTGAACCATACAAGAGAAATGGAATAATAGATTTGCCCTTATTATTGATACTGTTAAAGATCCTCCAGAAATTACATGAGCCTAATTTTTATGATGTAATAGATTTACTAGATTTCATGACCTGAGAATAGCGTTAGACAAAACCTTTTTACTATGGTTTCTAGCAATAGTAAACAGACTTTTTGAATTCTTACAAATGTAAATGCCCAGGCAAAGCATGTGACTATTGGAATCTTTATGAATTAAATGAAGATAACCATTAACACTAAGATCAAAAGATGAGACAGCTAAACTCAAATTAGTCTCACAAAGAGCAAGTATGTCTGGTAAACTTTGATAGAGATAAATCTCAACAGAAGAAAAGTTACTTCGAAGACCATGAATATTAGTGAATGGTAGGTTTAGAAAACTATGTGGTGACAATGGTTTTTTGTGCTTTATAGTTTTAGGTACTTTATTCATTTTTAATTTTTTATAGAACTTGACTTGAAGCATAGATAGTACTCAGTACACTATCTTATACTCCAAGCAATTGCCTCATTACTATTAATATACCCTAAGCTGTAACAAAGGGTCTAAAATGCGGCCTCAATAATGCACACCAAAAGTACGAACAGGTACACCACCCATGCGCAACATGGCACTGTTAGGTATTTTTCAGTGGTTGATGGAATCAGCCTCTCTGAGAGCTACCACATAGTTATGGATACCTGACTACCAGCTGGCCTCAGAACCATAAAACTAAGTTTTAGATCTGTACCCTCATTAGGAGATAATAGAATGAATTGCCAGTCATGAAAACAGAGGCACAAGCAAAAGTAGTAAAGAAGTAAAGAAGATCCAGTGTTCAACATCCTAAACTGGAAACAATGTATTAAAAATACATCTGCACCAACCTTATAGATAAAGAAAGGGTATAAAATGCTTCAACATAATACTGAAAAAAATTATAAACTGATTATTATTATTTGTTGTAAGCTAAAAAAAAATTTACATTAGTAAAAGTTTTACTTTACATTAGTAAAGTTTTAACTTAAAGCTTTGGTTTATATGTTTACATTTTTTTAAACTTTTCATAACTTACACAAGTAATTTCTTAGATTTTTATTTTTTTGCTGCTTTGTTCATTTTGCTTAAAAAATTTTTTCAGAGGGATCCAAAAATGCCATGACAAGTTGTGTTCATATCTTAAATAAACCTTATAAAATAAGTTTAGAGTTAACTAAACTTCTAAAACAAATTGTTTATTGAGATATCAACAAAAAAAATTTATTTTTTAATACCATATTGTTTTTACCAAAGGAAAATTCTAGCTTGTTGATTTTTCTTTCAAAAGAAATCTGGTGTGATTAAAGTATTTATTCTTTGATGTCAATAAAAATAAGTACTGCTGTTAATGTTTAAAATTTAATGTTTAAGTATTCCTTTTTTTAGATTTAAATTAAAAAAAAAAAATGATTAATATAATTTTTTTTTTACAATAAAAAGGTTTATAAATTTAAGACAGAAGTGAATATGGCTGCATGTTGTTAAAATAAAAATTAAATAGTCTAGTCATAAAATCTAAAATCCAAAATTTTCCTTACCATAAGGTTATTGATTACTTATTAACATATGAAGTTAACTAATCTCAAATCATTATTAAGAAAAAAAATTCAAAAGTAGAGTTGGCTAGTTTTCATACTAATAAAAAAGAAATGAGTTTTAAAAAATTTATGAAACTAAATTTGAAATACAAAAATGTAAATTGTTACACATTCTTTAATTAGGAAACTCCTATGGAATATACAACAGAACTTGATGTTCTGATCTCAACAGAAGTAAGTTTTAGCGATTATATATTTAATGTTTTATTAAATGATATTTTTTTTTAATTTTTTAAATTATATATTTACATATTTAAGATTTTAATTAATTCTAACAATAGTTTATAACAATATAAATTACTTATTGACATAAATAAATTAATAATATTATTCTTGAATGGTTATTTAAAAAACTTCTATCAAAAGAAGTTAGGTGGTTTAAAAACAAATAAACAAACATACATTGGAAGACTAGACCGAGCTGTCTAGCCCAAGTGCATCAATGGACCGAGCTGCGAAATATTGAAAAAAATAGCAAGAGTGAAGTGATAAAAAAACTAGAAAGATATTTTGAACAGATCTTGAGAACAAAACAAAGACACCATAGTAAAAGAAATTAAAGGTGATATAGTCATCCCGCAATGATTAAAATTAATTAAAAATGATCAACTCAGACTCCTAAGTGAAAACTATGACCCTCTATCTTATATACAATCTTAATAAAATTTATCTTCATAAAATTTGAAGATCTTTATTCTAAAAGGAATTGAATATAAAATATAAAGTTTAATATAATTGACCCATAGTGGAAATTAATTCACAATCTTTCAGCTTATTAGGATGATAAGCTGAAAGATTGTGGACTCTAACTGATTAAGCTATACACTATATTGTTTGATATTTTGAAAGAAATAATAAATAAAAAAAAACATAATAAAATCAACAACAAAACTAATAAAAATGAAATAAAATAATGTGCAAACCAAGCAAAGACAAAGTACCTGAATATGTATATATTCAACTTGTTTCTCCATGCAGCGGCTTGTTCATCAAGATTTGTGTTTCGCAGTTATAGAGTTGAGAGAGGGTTATAACCACAATTAATAGCCTACTCATCTGTAGTAGCCTTCTCGCCATGGGGAGGTGAACTAACATTATATATATATATATATATATATATATATATATATATATATATATATATATATATATATATATATATATATATATATATATATAGATATATTATTTTAAAAAATTAAATGATTTTTTTTATTTTTGACATGTTTCGTAAAATTTATTTACATTTTCGAAAGATTATTTTACAATAAATAAAAAACTCTGAAATAAGTATTAAAAATAGAAGTCTTTACAGAGAAATATTAACAGACAAAAATTAAACATAATAAACCAATATATTTATTACAAAATAACTCGATAAATATATCAAAATAACCAACTGTCAAAACAAAAAATAAAAATAAATAAAATAAACTGGCAGTAAAATTAAATAGATAAGTTTATAGCATAATTTAAAGTTTGTTTATTAAGTGAGGGATTTTCCCATTTAATGTAGAGGGCTTCTTTTATCTTTAATTTGTATTTGGTTAGTGCATTATCCAAAATCTCAAAGGAATCACAGTCAGCCAGATTTTTGCAATTTATAGATAAATTTAAGTGTTTAAATATATGAGATTGTTTATCACTTTTAAGGTGCTCATTTATTCTAGTTGCCAAATGTCTGGAGGTTTCTTTAATATAACTGGCATTACAGCCAGTATAAGAAAATTTATAGACAATATGAGATTTAAGCAGTTGAGGAAGTGACTCTTTTAAGCAAAAACAATCTTATTTTATTATCGTATTTTATTAGTAGTGAATCTTATTTTATATCGTATTTTATTAGTAATGAAAACTTATTTGATTAGAACACCCTTGCAATATTTATAAACAATTTTTGAAATTTTTATTTTAGTATAATTGAAGTACATTCCAATGTATGGAAGCTTAAAGTATCTTATATTTAAACTATTAACAGTGTTAGAAACAGATGGGTTCATTTTCTTATCAATATAGGATTTAATTTCATAGTCAATAATTTTTTGACGAAATATTTTACTTTGTAAAACTAATGATAGATTCTTAATATCTTTGTCAAAATCAACCCAAGTATTATCAATTTTAAATGTACGATCAATCAAAATCCAACATTTCAACCTATTATCTCAACAATTCGAACATATAACTACAACCTTGCCAAACATTTTTCTCATTTATTGTCTCTACATATACCTAAACAATTTTGGACTTTTGACTCATTTTCTTTTGTTGAAAAATTAAAACAAATTGATGTAACTAGTAAATTTATCGCTTCATATGATGTTGAAAGTTTTTTCACAAATATTCCACTTAAGGAAACCATCAACATAACAACTGATTTATTTTTTCAAGATAAAATTAACTTTAAATATTTTTAAAATATTCACTTTAATAAACTCAATTTAATAAATACGGTTCTCACTTTCTATTTGACAGAAAATTATACTATGGGTTTTAGTGATCATCTTAGCTAATATTTTCGTTGTATTTCATGAACAAACATGGGTCAATAACTTCTCCTTTACAGCATCATTTTTTTTATAAATGGTATATGGATGACATAGTTGCTATTTTTAATTCTGAATATGAAGCTCAAAAAGTTTTTAAACACCTTAATAAACAACATAAAAATTTGAAATTTACAATGAAAAAGAGCAAGATAACCATATTGTCTTTTTAGATGTACTTATTAAAAAATCCAATTTATTTTTGACTTCAGTTTATCACAAAAAAACATATACAAGTCTTTTAAAAAGATATAAAGAATCTATCATTAGTTTTACAAAGTAATAAATTTTGTCAAAAAATTATTGACTGTGAAATTAAACCCTATATTAATAAGAAAATGAACCCATCTGTTTCTAACACTGTTAATAGTTTAAATATAAGATACTTTAAGCTTCCATACATTGGAATGTACTTCAATTATACTAAAATAAAAATTTCAAAAATTGTTTATAAATATTGCAAGGGTGTTCTAATCAAATAAGTTTTCATTACTAATAAAATACGATATAAAATAAGATTCACTACTAATAAAATACGATAATAAAATAAGATTGTTTTTGCTTAAAAGAGTCACTTCCTCAACTGCTTAAATCTCATATTGTCTATAAATTTTCTTATACTGGCTGTAATGCCAGTTATATTAAAGAAACCTCCAGACATTTGGCAACTAGAATAAATGAGTACCTTAAAAGTGATAAACAATCTCAAATATTTAAACACTTAAATTTATCTATTAATTGCAAAAATCTGGTTGACTGTGATTCCTTTGAGATTTTGGATAATGCCCTAACCAAATACAAATTAAAGATAAAAGAAGCCCTCCACATTAAATGGGAAAGTCCCTCACTTAATAAACAAACTTTATATTATGCTATAAACTTATCTATCTAATTTTACTGTCAGTTAATTTTTTTTTTGTTTTTGTTTTGACAATTGGTTATTTTGATTGGTTATTTACTGAGTTATTTTTTAATAAATATATTGGTTAATTATGTTTAATTTTTGTCTGTTAATATTTCCCTGCAAAGACTTCTATTTTTAAATATTTATGTCAGAGTTTTTTATTTATTGTAAAATAATATTTTGAAAATGTAAATAAATTTTATGAAACATGTCAAGAATAAGAAACGTTATTTTTAAAAATAATTACTTATTTTATGCTATTACAGCATTCAATATATATATATATATATATATATATATATATATATATATATATATATATATATATATATATATATATATATATATATATATATATATATATATATATATTCATTCACAGCATTCAATATATATATATATATATATATATATATATATATATATATATATATGTATATATATTCATCATATATATATATATATTCATATATATATATATTCATATATATATATATATATATATATATATATATATATATATATATATATATATATATATATATATATATATATATATATATATATATATATATATATATATATATATATATATATGAAAAAAAACTTGGTACCGTGACGTTTAAATTTTTTTAGTACCGACTTGGTACCGAAGTACCATGTACCGTGACAACACTACAAAAGACTGCAAAAATTGGACATGAGTTATCGAAACAACTCGAACGTGTCTCTATACCAATATTTAATGGTGATAAAAAGAACTATGAAAATTGGAAAGCTTCATTTTACGCATGCATTGATCAAGCCCCAGCAACATCTGAGTATAAATTACTTCAGTTATGTCAATATTTATGTGGAGGCGCATTAAAAGCAATTGAAGGACTGGGGCATTCAATTGGGCAAAATGACCCAAAAGAAAAATTGAAAAGTTTGCGGATTTGTTGAAAAGTTTGCGGATTTGTTGAAAAGTTTGCGGATTTGTTGGATGTGGCAGTAACAAATTTAAAAGAAGCAATTCAAACAGAAGAACTTGGCGATGGGACATTGTACCATCAATTGCAAAAAAAAGTTCCTGAGATAATGTTAATTAGATACAAACGATGGGTGTATGAAAACAAATTAAACGAAAATGTTAAAACTTTAAAAAATTTTATTGTTGAAGAAGCAGATTTTCAAATTGCAGCAACGGAAACTCTTAATGGTTTAAAAAAAACTATTAGTAGCAAAGCACAACAAGGAAATTCTTACTTTGGTAACAGTGATCAAAAAAAGAAAATAAATTGGATACAGAAATGTTCTGTTTGCATAAACAATCTTAAAATATGGGAGTGTCCAACGTTTCAAAATCAAAATATTAAAGAAAGATGAGAGATAGTTAAGAAAAATAAACTCTGCTTAAGATGCTTGAATTCTAACCATTCGTCAAAAGAATGCAGGAACACAAGAATTTGTGGGATTGATGGCTTAGAACGGTGCCAGTTATTCTTCGTAATGGATATAAAAAAGTTGTGGTAAACGCATTGCTTGATGATGGAAGTACCAAGACATATTTGAACTCTGATGTAGTGGCTGAGTTGTCACTGCAAGGTAAAACCGAAAAGGTAACTGTAAACATAATAAATAGAAAAATTGATTCTTTCGATGTCGGTAGAATTTCAGTTGGAATCGTTGAATGGAGAAACAAAAATTACAGTGGAAGCTTTTACAGTTAATAATGTAACTGGAAACTTAAAAGCAGTTAATTGGGCATATATGTCAAAAAGTTTGAAACATCTAAGAAAAATTGGCATTCTAATCAGTGTGGATTACGCTGAGCTGCACTGTGCAATTAAGGAAGTAAAAGGAGGAATCAATGAACCAGTGGCTCGACTCACGCCGCTCGGATGGACATGTGTTGGTGGTACTGGTGGATCTCTTCAAACCCATTTTACGAAAATAACATCAAGTACAAAGGAAATAGAAGATGCAAACAACACAATTAAAAAATTATGGGAAATTGAAGCCGACGAAGAGATGCAATTTAGAAAAATAATGATAAGTCCAGAAGACTCTACCGCCTTTAATATAGTAACTAACTCGCTAAAAACTGAGAACGGAAGATATGAGCTAAAATTACCATGGAAAGGTAATAGACATTTGGACAATAATTATACAATGGCGTTAAACAGATTAGAAAATACAGAAAAAAGGCTAATGAAAAACAAAAGTCTAGGAGAAGAGTACAATAATACTATTAAGCAGTATCAAGAAAAGGGATACTTGGAAAAAATCAATAAAAGGGATCTTGGAGATGGTTGGTACTTACCACATTTTCCAATTCTTCGTCCTGATAAATCAACTACAAGTCAGAATTGTGTTTGATGGATCTGCAAAATATAATGGTAAATCAATTAATGATGTTATTTATCAAGGTCCAAAATTTCAACAAGACCTTGTGACTGTTTTGCTGAGATTTCAAAAATACCCAGTGGCTTTAGCTTGTGATGTAGCAGAAATGTATTTAAAAATTGGAATACATAAAGATGACCAAAGGTACCAACGAATTTTATGGAGAAACCTAGATTCAACTGCCAAGCCTGAGGTATTTCAGTTTAATCGGCTCGTATGATTAAACTGAAATACCTCATTATTTCAGTTT